CCTTCCTTCCTTCCTTCCTTCCTTCCTTCCTTCCTTCCCTCCTTCCTTCCTTCCTGCCCTTTGGTTCCCTGTCCCCGCGTGGAGGAGGCACCTGCAGCCCCTGCGGGCGGTGCCGTGCGCTCAAGGTCACTGTGCTCCGTGAGGCGGCAGGCCCGGAGCCAGGCGGCGTCCCGGGTGGCTCCAGTGCGGGCGTGCAGCGCCGTTTTGTGCCGCAGGTGTGGACGACGCCTCCCAGCTCTCGAGCTTTGCTAGGAGAGCTGCTCCCCCTCCATGGACGCTGCGAGGCGGAGAGAGCCGCGCTGGCGCTCTGTGGCTGCCGGGCTGCTGTGGCGGCTCCATAAATATTAAATGGGCTTTAAAAGAAAGCCCCGCGTTCCCAGTTCCCCGCTTTCTCCAAGCAGGGCCCGTTGTGAACCCCTTGATGTGAAACACAGTGCGGTACTGCGGAGGCGGTGCCTCCAGGTGCCACCTGCCTCTTCCGGCTGGGTCCCTGGGGTGGGCTGCGCTGTTCTCGCGTCCCTCGGGGCGGGGCCGGCGAAGCCCCTGCTCCCCCCTTTCACCAGGGCTGTGCCGCCTGGCTGGCCCCTGAGGGGTGGTTAGCAAGGGAGACGTGAGGACCCCTCAGGCTTGAGCTGAGCCTCTGCCAGGTGCATGCTGGGCACCAGGGAGAGTGTGGCCAGACATCCGGCATATGTCTGTCTGTCCGTCCATCTGTCCGTCCATCCATCCGGCCATCCATCTGTCCATCCATTTGTCCGTCTGTCTATCCTTCCATCCATCCATCCGCACATCCATTCTCTATCTTCACTCCTCCCTCCCTGTGTCTGTCCATCCATCCATCTGTCCATCCGTCTGTCCGTCCATCCATCTGACCATCTCTCCGTCCATCCATCCGTCCATCCCTCTGCCCGTCCATCCATCCATCTACCCACCCATCCCCTATCTTCATTCCTCCCTCCCTCCGTCCGTCCGTCCGTCCGTCTGTCCATCCACCCGTCCATCTTCTGTCTTCACTCCTCCCTCCATCCATGCGCTCACTGACTCTACTTAAGGAGTGTGGGGCTGGGGCGAGGCCAGCGTGAGAAGGGCAGGTGACCTTTCCTAGCGCTTACGGTGTCCTAGGCTTCGTGACAGGCGGTTCTCACAGGTCGCCTCTTCGTCCCCACTCTGAGTGAGGAACTGCTTTGCTGCGTTTCGTAGGGAAGGAAGCAGTTCTTAACCACGGGGGTTAAGCGGATTGCTCGGGGTCCCAGAACTGGTGGTTTACAGGCATGAGGAAGGGCGACCCAGGCCTGGCCCGCAGGGGACACCCTGGCTCATCACGGGACCGTGGGATGTGGCCCGGGTCAGCGGGAGTGGAGGACGGGGCTGCCCGATGGCAGGAGTGCAGGGCGGGCAGGTGGGCAGGGCCCGGGGCCGAGGGTCCTGAGTGTCAGGGAGGGACCCAGCCTGGCCTGTGTGCGTGTGAGGAGGACTTGAGTTCCTGGGCCCTGCCACGCAGTGCCACTCCTCAGCGGCCCCTGGCCTCACCTGGCACCTCCTCTTCCAGCTCCCTGGCCACTGGGCAGCACCAGCAGGGCTCCCACTGAACTGAGTAGTGATTACGATAGCCCCAGTGAACATCAGTTAGCCTGGCACTTGGTACCTGCCTTGTACCTTGGATTCCTGTTCCCTCATTTAATCCCCTAGCCCAGGAGGTGGTATTATCAGACCCATTTTCCAGAACAGGAAGCTGAGGCTCAGAGAGGTTAGGAAATTGGGCTGATGTCACACAGCAGGTCAGCACGATGTTAGGGCTCAGGTCCGAGCAGGGGGAGCCCTGGAACTTGGCGTCTGGTGCTGTGTGGGCTCTCCCTGGGTTTCTTTGTGCCCTGCAGCGGTCACAGATGGGACAGGCACTGGCTGGCCTGCCACTCCTAGGCAGGGAGGGCAGATCCACTTAGAAACCTAGTGATGGAACGGAGCAGGTGCGCCTGGGGGGGAAGGGGAGGCACACAGATATTATTTTAGTCTGCCCGTGTGGAGAGGAGGACATGTGCTGTGAATCAGGATGCATTTTGTGGGGACGCATAGAGAGGAGGAGGAGGACACTGCCATTTTATTTTACCTTGTATGAGGATGATTGAGATTTTTAAAAAATTAATAACCCTTTCTCCTTTGCACATAATTAAAATGCTCTCCAGTCTCTAATTTTTGCCATTTTCCTAATCTAATTTGTTTTCTGGGTGTGTCGGTTCTTCTTCCAAGAACAGAGCGAGGGGGATTTTCCTTCCTGTAACGTGACTGGGATGCAACTGTCCAGGAATAGTTTAAATTACATTATTTTCTCCTTGGTTAAATACAGCACAAATGGAATCAGTTGTTGTGGGGGGTTCTTAATGACCAAACACTAAACACAACAACCAAAAAATTTTTTCAAGGCATTTCCTACTTAAACAGTTAAAAAAAATGAGTATGAAAACGAACGGGAAAAATCGATAGTCTCAGTAACAGGGCGTTGGCCGCAGCGTTTGTTCTCACCGGGCCTGTGTTTCCAAGATTCTTCATAGCCGGGTTGGAATCTGCCAAAATGGAATTGTAGCCCAGGAAATACAAATGCAAACTGCGTTTTCCAGTGGAAGAAAAAAAATTTCAAAATGATAGCACCCTCAAGCTGAGATTTAAGTCTGTGGCTTCAGGGATGGACAGGGAACATCAGAATTATTAAGACCCTGGCAGGAGAGGGTAGCAGGGCATTGGGAAGGATTTTTTACATGTAGATCCCTCTTTCCTTGGCCACCACCGGTCCCTGAGCAGAGGACGGGTGTGGCGCTGGCTCCGGGAAAACCCCTTCTCCCGGTGCCATGGAAGGAGATCTTCAGGCAGAATTGATGTTGAGGAAGGAATTTCACCTGCCCCGCTCCCCACCTGCTCAGGCTTGCTGGGCGCGGGCGTGGGGCCATGTAGGGGGGTGCCGAGGGTTATGGGGAACCAGTGGGGCTGCAGGGGGCTCCTTCCTGTCTCCCCATTCTGCAAAGTCCAACTTAACTTCCCTGTTTACAAAATATCAGTCATTGTCTTGTCCCAGCTCACGGTCACCCTGTAGATTCGCAGGATTTCGTTGGAGGAAAGTACAAACATCTCAAGTATTTAAACATGTTGGACCATGCAAGCATCCGTCCCCGGCGTTGCGGGCTGGGTTCCCCCCCCCCACTTGTCCCCTCCCTTCCTTCTTTTTTCTTTTTACCAAAGTATATTCATCAAACTGCTGAGTTGGAAAGATTTGTAATGAGTTTTTGAGCTGTACGACTGTGTTTTTTCTCTCCCCCCTCCCTCTTCCTAAATCTTCATCTGACATTAAATAAAGCAAATCCCAAACAGATTAACTGTCGCACGGTTCTGCTTCATCTCCTCAGTCTGTTCGCAGGTCTGGCGGGGGGCCGGGCGGCGGTGGCGGCGGCAGGAGATGCCCGGGCGGCCCGCCGGGGTCCATGTGGCGCTCTAGGTGGGATGCCGGCGTCCTGAAGGCCGAGGCCCTGGCCCTGCTCCCCTGCGGCCTGGGCATGGCCTTCTCCCAGTCCCACGTGATGGCTGCGCGGCGGCACCAGCACAGCAGGCTGCTCATCGAGGTGGACGAGTACAGCTCCAACCCCACGCAGGCCTTCACCTTCTACAACATCAACCAGGGCCGCTTCCAGCCGCCGCACGTGCAGATGTAAGTGACCGCGGCCGGGGCGGGGCGGGGCGGGGCGGGGCGGGCGGCGACGGACACCTGGTGGCTCGGGGACGCCCAGTGCAACGTTGGCGGGTCCTTCGTGCTTGTGGGCCTGAGGTTCTGCAGTCCAGGACGCCCAGGAGGGACTGGCAGGAAGTTGCCGATTGAGGACATGAGGGCCGTATGGGGCCAGTGGAACGTTTCATAGATATTTAAACATGAAGTGGCTGCTGGACAAAACCGGAAGGCCTGGCAGCCCTGGGCTTACACACCCTTGTGGCAACGTCTGGGGTGCTGACTTCCGGCTCCCCCCGCCCCCGCCTTGCTGTGTGGTTTGTGATGGCGGAAAGGACTTGCCACAGGCCCCATGCGGGTTAGGAGCGCAGCCTGGGGCCAGCTGTTCCCCACCCGCCTCTATCCTGCCGCCTGTGCTCTGGGGGAGCGGAGAGGCTCCTCCTAAAGATCCGGGGCGCCCTGTTACTGCCCCATGCTCTGATGCAGTGCCCAGCCGCGAGATACACAGATGGAGCGCTTGTCCCTGGGCCTGCGTCCTCCCTGGATGATTCGGGGGTCCCTGAAGGCTGGGCAGTGCAGGGTGGGGGTAGATAATCCCCTGGACCCGCTTTGGTGCCTCTTACCTCTCCTATCATCCCACACAGCTAGCCAGAGCTGCCCTGGAACCCAGGTAGCCCAGCCCTAGTCCGGGGCTCTCTCCGCGCTCAGCGCCCCAGTGTCCTGTGGTGGGCACGTCCGTGGAAGTGCCTCCTCTACCCGAGAGCTCTGTCCTTTGCTTAGTTTCGGGTGTTTGCTTGGGGTGCCCGGCTGGCATTTGGTGGAAGCTACAGTTGAGCCCCGGGGCGGCGGGGAGACCGATGACTCCCCAGTGACACCCTGGGGAGGTCAGATCTGTGACAGGACGGGCCGGTCAGCGCTGACCATGACCCATAGGGGTGCAGACTGCTGTGCTGTGGTCCTGGAAAAGCCAGCCACTGAGAGGGGGAGCTGGGGGATCCCTAGCCCTGCAGGGCTTGCCCCAGGACTGGCTTCTGCTAAAGGTGGATGCTGGGGGGCTACTCATTGGAGGAAGGGCCTGGAAGGTGGCAAGCGTGGGCCTGGGGGTGGCTCCTGCACCCGGCATCGCCCCCCACCCCCCAGCACTTGCTGCAGGCCCGTGTGGCCGAGGCTGCCTGCTGCTGTGTTTGGGGGAAGACTTCCACTTGGACAGCTGCCTTTGATTCTGTTTCAGGACCAGGTCAGTGGGTTAGGGCAGAATGGATGCCTGGGTCTCAGCTGCTTCTTCGCCCCTGGGATATTGAGCCTAGCAGGGCAGCTGCAGCAGGGAGACTGGCTGGGCTGGGTTCTCTCTTTTAGGGGTGAGTTAGTCCTCTAGCCAGGCCGGCCTGAGGCCCACAGTATCCCTGGGGGTCCCCTCGCTCCAGAGATAAAAAAAGCTATGTAGAGCTGACGTTGGCTACGCCTGGGGAGACCTTAGTCCTGGAAGGATCCCCTGGAGAAGCCAGGCTTGAGACCCCGAGGTAGAAGAGGAGTGTCCGGCAGGGGTGAGGAGGATAGAGGCCAGGCAGAAGGGGCAGCGGGCGGAGCCCAGGGAGAAGGGCGTGTGGGAACCTGCAAGAGACAGCACAGACCCGGGGTCAGGCCTGTGTCCCAAGGAAGGGCTGCGAGGCAGTGACCGAGGGGGGTGACTTCGCTCACCTGACCAAAGAACAGGGAGGTCACTCACTCTAGTGCATTCACTCATACCTGGATGTTGGTGAGCAGACTGGGCTCGATGTTTGGGGCCCTGCAGGCATGGAGGACAAATACCTCCCTGCACGCATGGAGCTCGCATTCCAGGCCAGTGGCAGACGGGTGGCAGAGGAGTCCGGGAAGCGTGTGACACCAGTAGTGATTAGTGCGGCTCAGAAAAAGCTCAGTGGCTTTCTTGTTGCCTCCCCTTGTCCTGACCTCTCCCCCGGACTCGGTGTGACGTGCCGTAGGCAGTGAGGGTCCCCACTTCTCTTGGCAGGAAGAGCGTGCTCCAGGTTCTGGCCTTGAACTCCAACTTTTCACGGAGTTGGGTGAAGCCGGGGTGGATACAGGACTCGGGCGGCCGTTGCCTCCCACCCTTGATGCAGATGCCTGCACTGGGGGAAGCGCAAGGCTGGCTGAAGGGGGCGGTGTGGGTTTCCATGGCGAGCCGGCCCCTGCCTGGCTCAGGGAGAGGCAGGAGGACGACGCCACTTCCCGCTGTGGGATTTACTGCCACCCTGGGCTTTGTCTCCGGGATGAGGGAGCAAGGGGGTCTTATTTAATAAACCCACAATTTATATTTAATAAAACAACAGTGACAGTGCAAACACGGCTTCTGGCTGAGCGGTGTGATTTATGCTGTTGCCCCAGAGACCCTGCTGAGAAGGAGCCACGGCCTTTATTACGAGTCCCCACAGCTGGGCTTCTGGGTTCGGGCCCGAGGCTGCAGGCTGGGTGCCCTGGCTGGCAGGGAAAGCCTGGTGGTCACCAAGAAGATGAGAGTGAGTGTGGAGGGACAGGGACCCCCGCAGGTCTGTATCTCTTCCCTGTGGACTTCAGGGGGCACCACGGGGGAGACCTGGGCCACCGCTTTCAGATTCTCTGTGCCCATCGGGCTGTGGTGGTCTCAGCACCTTTGTCTTTGCAGCACTCGGGGTGGAACCCAGGGCCTTGCATGTGCCGGGCAAGCGCTCACCATGGAGCTGCACCGGGCCCCACTACTAGGTCTTGCAGCGCTTGAGGAGGGCAGGGAGAGCAGGTGGGAGGAACCCCTTTGTCCCTTGGTTGTGGTCCTCTGGGCTGTGCCAGCTTGGCACACCCACCCCAGCCTGGGCACACCTGGCCCTCCAGCCCCTCCTACACCCCTGTCCTGCCAGGCAGCAGACGCGGCAGCGCCTGGGGTCCGGCGTTCTCCTTCCCCGCTCCTCAGCCTGCACACGCCAATCCTTTTGCTTCTCCACCTCCGCACTCCTCAGGCCCTGCTCGGAGACCAGGGCCCACCCACTCCGCTCCCACCCCAGCTCGAGGGGCTCAGAGCCCCTGCGTGGTGTGAGAGTCGGTCCCTGTCCTCAGGATCATCTCCCAGGCGCCTCTGCCCCACCCCTGAGCCCCCCAGAGAGTGGAGGAGGAGGAGGAGGCGAGGAAGAGGGTGGGCGACCCGGGGGAATGACAGTCTCTGCTTCCGGGGCCCAAGCAGGTGTTTGATACCAGGACCGTGCTGCCAGGGAGCCGATGACTCAGGGGGACAGAGACGGGGCAAGGAAGGGGCACTTTGGGGGCACTGACATCAGCGTTCTGAGCTGGGATGGACAGTTAGACTCTCACTGAGATGGGCCGGCAGCTGGGAGGGTCCGGGGCACAGCGAAGAGCTCACCAGTCCAGGGGCTGTGCCCTCCATTCTGTGCACCCCTGCCACCGCCACGCCCGGGGAGGCTCATGTTCGGCTGGGGAGCGCGGGTGGGGAGGTTTAGGGTCTCGAAGCCATCCCAGCAGGCAGGAGCCTCGGGGAGTCTGGTTTGTCTCCAAGAAAGAGAGAATCTTTGTTTCTGTGCTTTTCTGTCTCACCTGCTGGGACGTCACAGGGAGACAACCAGTGTGCTTCTTACTTTTTCCCGCCACGAGCAGGTGTTGAGGTCAGATGCCCAAATTCCAGTTGCGCAGGCCTGGGCTCAGATTCTCCAGCGTAGGGCCCTGGACCTCGGGCCTGGGACTTACTTTTCCAGGTCTCAGTGGCTGAGTCTCCGGGGCTGTTGCGAGTCAGCCCTCAGCTGGGGTTTTGTTATCGCAGGTGCCAGAAACACGGCTTCAGTTGCCTTTGGGAGGGAAAGGAGTTTATTCAGCTGATGTGTTTAGCTGAGGAGTTCAGGTTTGGGTCTAGCCTCAGGTACAACTGGATCTAGGAGTCCAATGATGCCGTCTCATAGATTATTTCTGCATATCTCTTATTTTCCTAATTTCCTCCCCATTTGTAAACACAGGCAGGGGTGCTGGGAGCTCCTCCTTGGGGGCCTCTGTGGGTGACCCCCCTCCAGGTGCATTCTTTATACCTAGCAGGGGCCCGACATTTAGGAGCCCCTGTCTAAGCATCTGGCCATAAATCCTAGAAATACCCTAGCCTGCTGAGAGTTCTGGAACCAAAATGTGCTTCAGATTTCAATTCCAGCTTGCCTAGCTTCCACGCCTGAGACTGTGGGTACAGCAAACCTTCCCAAGCCTCGGTTTTCTCCTCTGTACAATGGGGACACCCACAGCATACTGCTTAGAGGTCCCCAGGGAGGCGAAGAGAGCCCATGCAGGTCAGTGCTGAGCAGGGAGTGACTTGTGACGCGCGGAGAAGTCGGCAGATCGGCACCACTATCGTCTCAAGCTCCAGCGTTTGTACCACCCAAACAGCCGGAGGGCTGAGCAGGAAATAAGTCTTTATGTTGTTCTCTAGGGATTGCTGGGTTCCTATCTTCTCTGTGTGCTGAAGCCTCAGGGTGCAGGGAAATAAGGCAGAGTTAATTAAAGAGCTCCGCAGCAGCAGCAGGCCCAGCCCGGAGAGCCCAGGCTGCCTGGCGGCGGGCTGAGCTGGCCCACGCGGGGTCCTGCGCTCTGCAGGCATTTCGGAGATTGCGGGACCCAAGCGAGGCCGCACTGGTTGGCTTTGCAGGTCTTGTCTTTTTGACTTGGTCCTTGCACGTTGAGGCTCTTCAGAAGGAGAGGTGGGGAGAATATGAACTGATGGATTTGATTGGCTCACTCCAGTTCCTGTGCCAGGCTGACAGCTGAGTAGTGATTGGCTGCTTGGTTCAATCAGCTGTCGGGACAGGAAGGGTGTGCAGGTGCCCCGGCCAGCTGCCTGCAAGACTGTCTGTCTTGGAGAGCCCGTTCTGGAGTCCCCCAGGACAGAGGAGAGGCAGCGAAGCCCTAGGAGGGGCATTTCAGCTTCCAGACTTACTCAGGCACTGCCTCCTCCTGGAAGCTTCTGGGAGGACCCAGACTGGCTTAGGCCCATGGCAGGCCCCCAGCCCTTCTGCTGCTCCGTCATAGCTGGTGGCTCTGTGGTCACTGGCTGTCCGAGTCTATCTCTGCCATCCATCGGGGATATCTGGTGGGCAGTGGTGGAGCCCAGTTCGCCCCAGTCTGACCTGCTAGGATCTGCTGGGGCCTCACTCTTGCCCCCACCATGACCTTGGCCCCGGGGAGAGGCCTGAACGCCCCTCCACCTGCCTTGATCCTGCACACGGATGCGCCCTGCACATTAGCATGCTGAACCCATGTCTCTCACAAGGTGTTAATTAAATTTCTTCGAAATATATTGTCTGAAAAAAAAAAAGGATAATTAGAAAGATGTCTTTAAAAGTATTTATGTAACTGATATGGTGCCGCTTTTGGTTTGCCGCGTAATTAGATTTAAGCACAACTCCTCGAGTGGCATACTCATTTGGAGAGAGCTGCTTGTTGAAATGTCACTGCGTTGTTCTTGAGCGTTTGGAGCCTGGTGGAGTTGCTCCGCTGGGGAGGCAGCGTGGGGTGGGAAGAGCCCTGGACAGGGAGCCAGGGGCTGGGTCCTCAGCACGGACCGTATTCAGGCCCTGGGACCCCGGGTCACACGCTCAGCCTGTGGGACGTCAGAATCCTCATCTGTAAAATGAAGGCCACCGTGAGCTCCCCCGGAACAAAGAAAGAGTCCATTCGTGCCTCGCTTTGTAAGTTTCTGAGTGCCTGGGGAGGTAGCTCTGTTTCTCAGATGTGCACACCTGTGAGTGTTGCTTACGGTCACCCCTGAGTGATGAGCGACAGAACTGGGGAAGGAACCCCGGGGTCTCTGATTCCCGAGGTGGGTTGTCTTCCCCGAGCCTGGAAGGCTGTCGGTCCACGCATGCCCTCACTACCTCACAGCTTAGAAAAATCGCCTCCTGGCTTTGAGTGCCTGTGTCCCACGGCTTCCGGAGAATTCCTCCTTTCCCACACCGCTGTCCTCGGATCTGCGTACGCTCTGCTCAGCACGGGGACAGCTCTCTTCACTGACCCGGGACTCCCTCCGGTCCATGCGTCCTCAACGGGTGCAATAGCGCCCCCAGCGGCGAAAGTGGTTTTTGATGGGTGAAAAAAAATCTGACCCTTCTGTCTAAAGGATAGATAAACATACAGTAGGTGGACAGATGTACAGCTTCTCTGTGGTATTAAAATCGCACAGAACTAGACAGTAATCACCAGAAAGTTGGGAAATGCGGCTTTAGTCCAGAGCGGGTAGGGCACAGTAGACCAGAGCCACTCATGGTCTTTGACCTTCACCCTTCCTCAGAGGTTTCCATGCTGCACGGGGGTAAATTGAGGCTCAGGGGACAAGACCAGGTGGGCCGTCTGGAAAGCTGGGCGCTGGGTCCGTGTCTGATTGGACCTGATTGGACCTGATGGGGCTGTGAACCGCCCACCCCACAAGCTCGTGGCCCTGCAGCCCCCGTGAGCCCCAGCGTCTCCTCTTTCCACAGGGTGGACCCGGTGCCGCACGATGCCCCCAAGCCACCCGGCTACACGCGCTTCGTGTGTGTGTCTGACACACATTCGAGGACGGACCCCATCCAGATGCCCTACGGTGACGTGCTGATCCATGCCGGGGACTTCACGGAGCTGGGGCTCCCAAGCGAGGTGAAGAAATTCAACGAGTGGCTGGGTAGGTCCCCGGCCGGTGGCCTTTCCTGCTGCTCTGCCCAGCACCCTGCTGGCCATTACTGTACCTGCCCCACACGCCCCCTGACCACGCAGACCTCCCTGACTGCCCCCCCTCCCCACTTCCCTGCCAGCACCTGGCTCCCTGTGACTTTCCCCTGTGAGATTATTTTTGAAGCTAGGGTGACCCCCCCCTTTGTGACTTAGTTCATTTTGTTTTATCCCCTGGTGTCCAGCCCCCAATGCCCTGCACAAGGGGGTATTCAGGAAATAATTGATGCTTTTTTTTTCTTTTTTGGTGGGTACCGGGAATTGAACTCAGGACCTTGCGCTTGCCAGGCAGGTGCTTGTGCCACTGAGCTATATCCCTAGCCCCAGTAATTGATGAATGAATGAATGGGTGTGTGGGTGAATGAATGAATCACTCTAGGGATGGCCAGAGCAGGTACCCGGCTGTGTGGGCTGGTACCAGCTCGGTCACCCCTTGAGGGGACTCCTTGGCCTCTGTAGCCCCTGGTGGAGCCCCGGGGAGCAGATGTGGCTCCTCCTGTGGCCAGCTGTTGTCCTTGGTGGCAGAGCACTGCCCTACGCAGTGGCCGACCGTGGGTGATCATTTCTATGCACAGCCCTTAGGTTTTGTGCTTTTTTTTTTTTTTTCCAAAATAAACTTGGTGTGCCCCTTGGGAGAACATGCTTGCCTGTGATCCAGAAAAACCTCCCAGTGAAGTATCGTTGTCCCCGCTGGGGGGAGTAGATGAATGGCGTTTGGGCAGCCTGGCGATCAGACCTGCTGGGGTGGAGGCGGGGTGCGGGGCTAACCCACCTCCATACATAGCCCCCTTGCTCCCCACAGCCGTCACAGGTCCCCTTGCCTCTCCGGGGCCCTGCTGTGGAGCAGAGGGCCAGGAGTGAGGCGGTGTAGCTGCAGCAGCAAGAGGCTGGGTTTTGCCAGCAGAGACAAATATTTACAAGCAACGCCTTCTCTACCTGGCAGGTTCTGTGCTTTAAATATTGATTTTTCAAATGGGAAATTCTAATCCAGGGCCTTGTGGGGCCTGCAGTGTGTGAAGGCGGGGGTGGGCGAGGGCTCCTGTGGGACTCACCTGGCTGTGCTGTCTCTGGTTCTATGCTACACTGTCCCCTAGCAGGGACCCTGGCCTAGCCTGGCTCCTTATCCTCCTGCTGTGGGTCTCGGAAGGTGCAGAGCGCCACTTGGCTGGGTCAGGGCAGAGACGGATAGTCACTATGGGTGGGTACCTGTTCGGTGCCAGGCTCCTTCCCCCCTGTCTTGTCGAGGTTGGCAGCATCTGGTTGCAGGGGCTCGTGTTTGCATTTCCCTCGAATGGAGGAAAATTGGCCACAGTTGCCTCCCATCAAAATGGAGCAAATGGGATGAACCGCATGACCTGACTCCTGGGCTGTGGGTGTGGGGACCAAGGGTTCTCAGGAAGATGATGGAGGAGGTGGCAGTTTGCGCCTGGAACGGAGAACTTGTGTGCCCTGGCTGGAACAAGGAGATTGGGGGGCACCATGGTGACTGGCCTGACCGTGACTCTGGAGAGGGGACCAGGAGGGCTGTGGCCTGGCATGGCCAGCATGTGGGATGGGCGTTTTAGAGCGATCTCGTCCTGCTGCTCAGCAACAGCTCCGACTTGGGGAGGAGGCGCGTCGTTCTGCACACGGTGGCCGGTTGTGTCTATTGGGCTGCAGTGTTACGGGTGGACAGGGTGAGTCTACAGGGGCATCCTCCTTTCACTGATAGCACCTCCCCGGCCTCCCTCAGGTCTTGTTTCTGCTGCCTTGCAGCTTTGCAGGTGTCAGGGCTGTGCCTCCATCGGGCAGCTCTAGATGGAAGGGGAGCTGCCCTCCATTGTTTGAGGGAGAGGCCAGGAATCTGCTCCTGGGTAAGAGCAAAAACAGCAGTGCTGGTGTTTTCTTTTTTGGTGGGTACGAAGCCACTGGCAGCTGGCTTCGGGAAATCTCCACGGATTAGAGACTCACCTTTCTGGGCCAGTGGGTCTGGTCTCCTGCGCTCAGTGGTCACGGCTGAGAAGTGGGCTGTGCGTGGTTAGGTCATCTGCCTTGTATGTGGCGCTAGTGTTTATTGAGCACTTAGGATGTACCAGGTGCTGTTCTGTGCTCTTGTGTGTTGCGAACTCATTTAATTCTCTGATGATGGATGAGGCAGAACTATTGCTTCTCCACTTTTTGGGTAGAAAACCCAGGCCCAGAGTAGTGAAGGAACTTGCCCGAGGTCACACAGCAAATTGGGAGCAGAGCTGGGATTCAGACCCACGCAGTAGGAGTTACAAGCTCTTGGCATCTTCTCTCAGTGGTTGTCTCTCTTGTGCTTAGGGTAGAACCTCCCTGCTGAGAGGCGAGGTGTGGACTCTGCTACTTGGACCCGGGAACCCTAGATCTATTTCCTGCCTCCGTGACTGGCAGCTACATGACTTCTCTCCATCTCTGTGGCCTTGTTCTAAATACAAGTGGCCAGGCTTCCCTTATGTTGCCAACAGCTTATTCCTCTGGGGACGGAAGGGAAAGTCAAGTTTTGTAAACTGCGAAGTGCTGCACAAGTGTTTATTATCGCTCTTTGAACTGGCATTTTCAAGATGAGGGCTCCCCTTGGTGGGAGTAGGCTGAGGCAGGAGGGTTGCAAGTTCCATCCTAGCATGGACAACTTAGGGAACTAGTGAGATCCTGCCTCAAAATTAAAAAAAAAAAAAAAAAAATTAAAAGGGCAGGGGATATAGCTCAGTGCAAAGGCTCTGTGTTCAATCACCAGTATGGGAAAAAAATAATAAGAGCCCTTGGCGAGAGTGACAGATGTCCAAGGAAGGACAGTAGATGTGATGGAGGAGGCCGGGTAGGGTTTAGCCAGGTGGTCGGCCTGGAGGACCAGGTGTGGGAGTTAGGGTTGACCCCCAGTGTCGGGGCAGCTTTAGGACGGGCTGCAGGGGGCGGACTTCGCAGAGCTTTCCGCAGCCACTCTGGACTGCACAGAGTGAGGGCAGCTTGGCCGGGGCTGCAGAATGTTCTGGAATTACTGTCTGGGCTGGGGGAGCATGGGAAATTATTTTCTGTTTTATGATTCTTCCCTGTGTTCCCTGGTTTCCTAAAGGGAATGTGTACTGTTCTGGTAGTGTAAAAAAAAAAAAAAATAAAAAAGACAAAAGTCATTGTTCTTTTTTATCGGTATTTGTGATGCATGAAGCTTACATTCATTTGGGGGACCAGGACTTGTCTGTGTTGTATCTTGACGATTTCAATCCTCTTTCCGCCCTTCCCCCCCTCTTTCCCTGGTCCCTGACCCCGTCCCCGTCCCCAGCCTCCCTGTCCCCCTCCCTCTCGCCTTCATTTTACTCTTCGTTTGTATTTTGGGTCTCTCAGGCGAGGGGAACCATGTGCTCTTTAACTTTCGGTGTCTCATTGATTTCTCTCAGTGCTGTGGACTCAAGTTGAGGAGACCTTGGCCTCCCTGGTGCCTGGTGTGGCGTCCCCTGAGGGGCCGGGACAGCGCTGGGCCCCAGCTCGGTTCTGGGTCATCGGGCTGCTGCTTTGAGGCTCTCCCAGAGCCCTCCCTGTGTCCCTGGGCCCTGCTCCTGGGAAGGACCAGATGGGAAACCCAGTCAGCACCGGCTGCCCACTGCGCCGGTCCCCTCACAGAAAGCATTGAAGAGCACTTTCCAGGGCACTTTCCAGGGCACCTCCAGGCTGTGGGACACTGACAAGGGTCGCAGGAGGACGGGCGCTGGCACCTGACCAGCGGTGGGGCTGCCTGCCTCGCTGTCCCGAGCCCTGCCCTGGGCGTGGCTGAGCGGTCTCTGGAGGGGGCCGGGTTCGGGGTGACAGTGCCCCTCCGTGCAGACCCTCTGTCCTCTTGGCCATTAGTATCCCAAATATACGCAGGATACTGAAACACCAGCTTGATTTGTAGCTGGCCCAGTAAGCAGCTCAGAAATGGTTACGAGCGTGTTCTTTGGCTCTAAAGAGCGAGGGAGGGCGGAGAACTCCCCGGCAGTCCTGGCTCCTCCAGGGCCAGTGACGCGGTGGCCGTCCTGCTCGGGCAGTGGCCTGTCCTCCTTTCCGAAGCGGGGACGCTGGGCTGGATTCTGCTGCCATCTGAGTGACAGCCAGGCCCGCGAGAGCTGGGATTTGCACGCTGACAGAAAGCTCCCCGTCTCTGCCTGATGGGTGCCAGGCTGGCCCCTTGCCCGGCTGCCTCTGCCACCTGGAGTGAGGGCCCAGAGCCCCAGGGCACTTTGTCCCCAGCCTCTGCCCTGTGGGCTCCTCCTCCCCAGCGTCCCTAGGCCCAGTCTCCATCTCCTCCCTCTCCTCCCTCCCCTGAGGGGCTCCTGGCAAGGCTCCTCCTGGGGCTTCTTAACCACTGGGACCCTGAGCTTTGGCTCCCACCCAGGCCTGCGCGAATGTCCGCCCCTCTCTCCACAGCCAGTGCTTCCCCCAGGCACCTCTTCCTCGGGGTCCACCAGGATCTCAGGCCCCTCGGTCCCATGCTGACCTCCCAGGGGGACTCACACCCCTCCCCTCCGCTCGGGGCTCAGGCCAGCTGCTTCTGCGGCTCTGGCCCTGCTGCTGTCTGTCCCATGGCAGGCTGTCCCCTCTGCACACTTAAGCCCCTGTCAAGTTGCCCCGGGCACTGGTCTGAGCCAGCCTGCCGGGCTCCGCTTTCTCCTGCGGGGCCTGTGCAGTGCTGAGAGCAGGGTTGCTGCGGGTCAGCGCGGTGCCCAAGGGACAGGGCTGGCTGTGTAGAATGAAGTGGGGCAGGGCCTGCGAGGCGCACGATGAACCAGTTAATTAAGCGGCGCTCCCCAAGCAGTCAGGCAAGGAGGAAGGGGACGGCCCTTAATGGAGTATTTAGAAGTTATAATTAACTTTTTCCTGGCGCCCTGGCATAAAGCAAGATATATATATATATATATATATATATATATATATAAAACAATATAAAAGGGGTCCAAGGATTTAGTTAAATAGAGCTAG